AAGTGAAGATTATACACAATTTGTGTTAAAAGATTACGACCGGAGTATGCGTTTAGTCAACATACAAATATTAAACTGCACTTGTGCGGAAAAAAACTCTTTCCAGTGTTTTGGGGTGCCTCTCAAGTTTGGGAGTAGAAAATTGTGTTTTGTCTTGTCTTCTGAAGAAAAAAATACTTTCAGAGGGTTCACTATAGACCGAGAATAAGCCTGTAAGTCTGGTGAGCTGTTGTCAATCTCTTGGGCTGCCGGTCTCGTATGTTATTGGTCTCGACGGACTGTCAGTCTCGGGCGCGGATCCGCCGGGCCGATCCCTCCCCCCCCCCCCCCTAGCCCCACAAAACGGTAAAAAAAATAGGAGAGTAACGTAAATTTTACCCTTTTTTAATCAAAAACAAAAGCGGCCCCCTGACCTCCCACAAAACAAAAAAATAAGTAAATAAAAGCTTATTCACCGACTGGATGAATTGCTTCTAAATATTTTTTTGCACGAATTGGGTCCCCGAAAAAGTGCACTTATACCCCCCAAAAAAAATTCCTCAAAAACTGGAACAAAAAGAAGAAAATATGTGTGCCCCCCCCCCCCCCCCCCCCCCCCCCCCCCCCCCCCCCCCCCCGCGCTTATTCGCCGCTAAATATTTTCTCAAGATTGGGGACCCGTCTTGTCGCCGGCTGGATCCGCCCCTGGTCAGTCTCGTAGGCTGTCGGTCTCGTGGGCTGTTGGTCTCGAAAGGAGGCAATTGCACCCCGTATACCTTTTGCCCCCACGCCACCCGAATAGTTTTTTGTTTGTTTACACCACCTCATCCAGGGACTTGTTGTTCTCATTGCGGGGGTGATTCCAGCCCAGGGTTCGTAACGTTTTGAAAACTTGCAAAAAATGATAATAGTCGATAGACCAGTGAGTCGATGTTTAACATAAATTATATAGAAACATCGTTTATAGAATGCAATATAAAAAAAAATGCTTTGTCACTATTATAGTGACAAAATTTAATTTCTATCAGTATATGTTTGTTGAGAAAGAGCTATGATAGCTCTTTAGCTCTTTCTCAACAAACATATACTGATAGAAATTAAATTTTGTTAAAAAATGTCAATAATTGACTCCGCGGTGACAAAAATGTGCATATCGTAATGTTTTATTAAACTCGACATGCGGTTCATCATTCCGAAAGTATGATTTATTCACTCGAAGGTTCACGATCATTTTAGATATTCGTACAGAGAGGGAGAGAGAGAGAGAGAGAGAGAGAGAGAGAGAGAGAGAGGGAGAGAGAGAGAGAGGGAGAGAGAGAGGGAGGGAGGGAGGGGGAAGATAAAAATGATAGAACCCTTTCCGAATTTTGTATTTTGAACTTCTTCTTTTTTCGGAATTAAATACGAATCGACGTTGTGAAAATCGTATATTTTTCTTTCAATAATATGACTGCTTTGTTTATTATTTTGATAGAGAATAACTTAAAGGAAACCTCACCTCAAGAAATAACTTAAATTCAATTATTATAAGAGATTTATTGTATTCTTTCCCATTAATCTATACAACCATCGAAGTGCATGAAAATGATAACGTGAAGTACCTTGCGAAGTTGTTTATCAAGTAAATGTTTTCAAATTTATGGATGCCTCCGTCCCATGCAGGTGTATGTGGTGATGAAATATTTCATTCACCTGCTATTATCTTTTGTAATACAGTCAATAGTCAGAATGTAAATTGCATAAATAGGTTGGTGCTCTTCTATGGTGAACGTGAATGAAATAGATTTGTCAACCGCGGCTATATTTGGTTTTTGTAAATAATTGAGTTCAGTTGTTCCCCAGCCTATTTTTGACCAAATATAATTTTTACCATCTTAAAGATGAAGTTGAGTTCTGGTCATGCGATTGCATTGTGAAAGAAACGGTGTGGAACCGACCAGAAAAGGTTGATCATCTAGCATATAAGAATTTGTGTGTATTGCAAGGTTCTGGAATCATCAAAATGATAAGAAATGTGGCCAAGTCTTGGTAAAGTTACAAACACTTGCACAGAAAGATGTATATGGGACTACACGAACACGTGGCGTAAAAAGCCGGCCCCCCGATTTTTACGATGTTACATACATATTTAGAATATGAAGGCATTTGAAGAGCCATGCTTTTCAGGGAACATGTCTTAACTGATGTTCTTCCACACTTGCATAATAAGAATGAGTAATCTCACAAATTATTTTTCACCTCTTCCCAGAACTCAACCTTCTCTTTAACTTTGATTTTCCCTCATTGACAAGAAAAGTTTTATTATTGAATTAAAAAGTCTTTCTAACTAAAATTTGGTGCATGTCATGTGCAAGTTCGCTTAAACAAGAAAACGGTAATTGCGCCCATGTCATAATGAAGGGCATTAGATCATGTCAAGAATATCAAATTTGTACATGTATATTTCTTGTACTTTCATAAGGAATAATATACATTAAAGGGAAGACTAGTACATCTCATTTTCAGCATACATACCTTTACACTTTTTTTCTTTCTTTTTTTTTTGCGGGGGGGGGGGGGGCGAGGTTTCCTTTAAGGTTGCAAATTGAGGTCATTTTAGTGCCGTCCTCAACATACTGATCCCATTCTTAGAATGCAATACAATAGAAAATTGGAATATAGGAAGAAAAAACAGCAAATGGTTAAATCCAGGCAATCCACTACTGAAAGCTCTTAAAATGTGTGCATTAAAAAAGGCAACTAGAACGCGCAATTGAGCTTCAACTCCGTATATGTAATGGGCCTTTCCGGGGGCCTTTTCCCAGCTCAAAAGAAAGTGAAGTTTATAGACTTAGGTAGACTAATAAAAGTAAATGTAAGAAGTGAAAACGCTTGCTTCTCACTTTTGACAAAATAGAAGCGTCCTCTCGAGATCGTCTTATTTCTCGATTGGCTTCATTAAAAAATACCTGTATTCGTTATTTCCATTTTGATTGGCAGACATGTACCTAAAATTTACATACAGCGGACATACTTCAGAGAAATCGACACCTGGGGAATGCAGCACCGATGAATGACATGTGAAATTTACATTATCAAGATGCTATCACCTGTTGAATGTAATTCCATTCATGATAAACGAGAAAAGTAGATCCGCTCTGGCGATTGCATGCACAGATGAAGCAACTATCATCAAACGAGGAAATATTATAGCGCCCTCTTGTGAGAAAATCGTGCTTGACAGATGGGGAAATTTGAAAGCAGGCTCTTTTTTTAATTCTCTGCATGGCTCCTGGAACCTCTCCATTATTATATAGAGAGAGAGAGAGAGACACCCAAATACAAAACAGAAATAAGAGGGAGAAGAAGCTGATAGAAATAAAAAGAAGATACACGAGAAATAAAAAAAGAGAGATATAAAAAGAAAGGAGGATCCAACATGACTGCCACATGCACTTCCTTTTTATTCTTAGACAATGTAAATTGTTACTGTTTGGATTTAAAACAAATTTTAAATAGATGGGGGTAAAATTCCCATCAATTGGATCCGACTCTGATCATCGAAGTTGAACTCGACTGCAATGTATAATTGTAACACCTGCAATATAATAGCCTTTATGTAAGTTAATGTTGCTCGAACATCTGACCAGTTCAAGATACTTCCTCGTCTTCAACCATTACCCTGACAACAGTACATACTGCATTGACCTAATGTTCTGATCACTATGAGTGGTGTTCTTGTAAGATAAAATTACTCTTTTCTGTGTGTGCTTGTGAATGTGTTTTTTTGCTATTTAGTAAGATAAACTGTTTGTCCAAAAGTGCTTGGGACATCGATACCATGCAGACAAATACCTATTGCCAGTCTTTTCTCTCTTTTGTTTCTTACATTAAAAACAAATTAGATAATCATTTACATAGAAATTTTCTCCCGTCCATCAAGTTGCAAAGCCCACGATGACAAACCAAGCCAGGAATACACAAATTATTGTTTTGCCTGAGATTTTTCAGGATTCTTTTAAGCGTTTACTGAGAAGTTTTTTGCAATATTTGACGATTGTCATTTAATTTCCTCTTTACGATAGTATTTATTTGAATGATTTTCCAAACTCAATTTCAATGTCATCGTCTGGCTGATTCAGAATTATTAGTATACATTGTATGTTAGTTCCCTGGTTTCAATGAACATGAAGATGAAAAATTAAAAACTTCCCTCAAGGTGACTAACCATGTGAGTGTCTAGACAAAGCTCTGAGCATGCACTGTAGCACTGCCAAGAGACTCACAGGTGAACGAGCATTCATAGGTCTAGATATGGTCCGATACTCTGCTAATTTGAGATGCAAGTATTTCCTAATAATAAAAGAATATTCGTATCTCAGGCTCTTATTAAACAAAAGGACTATTTTCTTCTACCGTTGAATATTTAAACTTAAAGGGAAGTAATGCTTTAATCACAATAATATCCACTTCCGCTACTCGTGAAACAGCATTGTTTGTGTGTAGTGGCTTTGTATTGGAGCAGGAAATTAGGAAATCCTCATAAATTAGGTGTTGACGTCTTAGCTCTATTATATTTTAATACAATGGTCCCCCCCCCCAATCTTCTACCAGTACGTGTGGGGGAGCACGATAAACGTCTACGAGACATGGTATATAGAAAGGGGAAGTTACTGGAACTCCATTATCTCTAGGCCCCAGGCGAAGATTTTGAATAATTACGTCAGGGTGATCCTGGCACGTGGCTGCACTGATTGCACTCCTATGCTTTATATTCCTGCGCATGACAAACAAAATTGCTATGATTTCATTATATATTGAAATAACAGAGAAATACATGAAGAATTTAGTCATTAATGAAATAGATGAGGAACGTAGAAAATATTTCCGTACACCCCTTCACGGACTGTATTTTCGTAAGTCTGCTGAAAAAGGGGGCGGGGACTGAGCGGTGACTGGCGCGTGCCAGCATAAATTAAAGCGCGGATGTATTCTGAGCCAGACATCGTGTAGTGCGGCACGGTATAACGGTAGCACGTTGAACTTGTATTTACTATTTTAGTTCGTCAGATGAGTCGGTGAAGTGTCCATTCAGTTTTTACCCTTGTACGAGACGACTCACGCATATTTTCGTTTTTTCGATATTTGTTAGTCTAGTCTAGCTTATGTGATTTTCTTTCTTTTTTCTTTTGTAGGCAGTCGAGTCTTTATTTTAAAACGCATTTTCAGCAGAAACATTTCATCACAAGGTACCTAAGTCATTGTCAGACCGACAGCGTTTATCAGAAATATTGGCTTGCTCCTACAGGTGACTCCCAAGAATTTCATCACCACTCGTTTGTTTGGGGTTTGATACACTTCCACCGGTCGTCCCACTCATCTCCCATCTTACCACGGATTTTTTGTTTTCTGCAAGCCAAAAAGGATTTATCGCGTCCCAACCAAGATAACAGTACCATCTTAGTTTCTGCAATTTTTTACCCAGGACCTTGCAATGATCAACGTTATTGGTGAGTAGTCTAGCCAGCATTGGAAAAAATGTCTGGATTCAGGACAAGTTCTCTGTGTGTGTGGTGTTAACATAACATTGTCATTACCAATGTAAGATTAACAAGGTCAAACTTGTCAAGATTTCTATCTGTTTTGTTGTAGCACTCTGGGTTAGTGAAAAATCTAGACCAGGACTTGTTAATGTTATTAATGTTTTGTGACTGCATTCCGATAACCAGACACCACCAGTTCTGTCACACTCACACGTTTAATTTCCAGCATGCGTGTCCTCTTACTCTTTACAGACAGTCTTTACACTGCAGTCTTACACCCCCCCCCCCCTTCTTCATTCTGGTCTAGTCTAGGCCTACACTAGGCTTAGTCTTAGACTCTACAGTCGAGTTTTCCGTTTCTTTCTCTCTGCGAGGGCAAACATATTTAAATCTAGATCTAGATCTAGACTAGACTATTGTGCCTTTTGAGTTTTGATTCCGAAATTATCATGAGAATTTTGAGATGGCCACAGTGACATCAGCGGACGTTGGTGGATATTGGCCTTGTCTTTAGAAGGAATAACCTACCACTTTCGTCTGAAAAAAAAAAAAAAAAAAAAAAAAACATGACCATGTTCTTCTTCCTGATCTAAAAATTGTAAAATATTTTATTTTTCACATTTTAGCCTAGAATCCCACGATCTAGATCTTACTCTAAACCATAGATTTTCATGAGATTTGTCTAGAATCTATGCATTAAATCTAGATTAGATCTACAAAGCAAGACCGATATTGAACAAAAGAATCTCCAAATTGAGTGAAAGACCTCAGAATCAGATTGAGATGGAGGCACCGGTACGACTTGTTGACCTACGCTGATGAAGTCCGCATTCACGACAAGGGCACACACATTTCACCCCTGTCTGTGTGGCACGCTGCATTGTCACGCGGCAAGTTCCACAGCCACGCGAACACACTGAGCCGTCGCCCCCTGCATGGCCGGCGTGCGAGCTGGCTTCAGCCGGGTCGCGTGCCACTGCCTTTGTTTACGTTTGTGTGGGAACTGTGCGGCGGCGGCTCGCGCCAGTGTATGGGAGCATGAACCACTAGCTATTCACAAACCACGGTGACCTTTCAGCATGGCTTTTCACAACAATGCCATAATTCAGTCATCTGGCTGGCCTGCTTTTTAGCGCCAATTTCAGACTTTTGTGTTTCATTTTCGGTTCTCATGTGGCAATTTATCTAGGTGTCTTAACTGAATGCATTGTTATTTAGTAGATTAGGACACTGAAATGATTGTCTTGGAGGGGGAGGGGGGGGGGGGGGGATTATGGTTGCTTGAATTTGGAGCAACTCCTTCTACACTGACCACATATTATTTAATAACTTAATCTAGATCTAGATCTTCATAAAGTTCATTCCTTTAGGCAGGCGGTAGGCCTACAGTCAGTAGTACTAGTAGATCTCTAGATCTTCTAAAATAATTCAAATTTGTTCATTCAAAGTATCTTGGGCAAAGGAAGGAGAAAATATTTATTGTTGGGGGGGGGGGGGGAAGAGCTCTCGGAATAGGAATAGGATAGGGTCTAGGCTAATAATAATAAAATGTTTAAAAAAACAAATGTGTGTGAAACTAAAAGGTATGAAATAATCTACATTATACTTTTGTACTGCCTCGTTACCAAGTTTTGTTGGTTTGTCTCGCCACTACTGGCACTAGATCTAGACAGCAATTTTGATGTAGGCCTAGGGGTCTAGGGTCTAATTCTAAAAACTCATGTCCTAATAGTAATAATTCATCTCGCTTAATTCTCAGTTTCTCATTTTTCTGCTTTTATTTATCAACCTCTGAGCGGATTGAGGCAATTGCAGTAGGCCTAACCATATAAATCATGAAATAAGGAAGTGTCAGAAAATCTTGTTGAAATCCATGTCCTGAATGTAGTCTTGGTCCCAGGCATATTATATCTTGACATTAAGCTTCTAGTCTGGTTTCTCAGACCTATAATTATAAATTATCTTTTGACTGAAAACCTTTTGGATATCTTGGACTAGATTGATGTAAACCTAGACCTCTAAATCTAATTTTTACTTGAAGATTTCTTTAATAGTATTTGTAATTTCATTGATATTGGCACACATCATGGACTAGTACTAGTATGGTGTCTAGATCTACTCTAGATTTCACTTGCAAGCATTCACTTTCATGCTGTTCCAGAGCAGTGTAACAATGTTCTAAATATTTCAAGCTCTGAATTTGATATTTGCTGTTATCAGAGAAATATCAGATATGAGAGTTATTTAAATACAATTAGTAGATATGTTAGTTATATGAACACAAATTTAATTTGACAAAGTAGAATTCAAACTTTCCCCTAGTTATTTATATGTTGTTGCTTATGTAGGCTAGATTAATATTGTCAAGTCTTCAATGTTATTTTATTCATGTGTCTGTAGCAGTGTAGGTTTTCTTCCTTTTGGCACAAAATTTATCGAGTATGAATTATGAATGAAGACCCTGAATGTAATTCAGTTTTATCAAATGACATAGTTAAGTATTGCCTTTTAATGCAAACTTACAAAGAACATACCCATGTGAAATATATTAAGACAAGTAAATGTATCCAGGGCTGGAAGAGAAAGTACAATGTACATCCATGTTTATTAAGTATTTTGTAATGGGTAAAAAGTCTGGCAAGCTGATGAATTTATCACCCTCAATTTAAAGTACACAATAATTTTGAATCTAAAAGAAACACAAATCTAATTTTAAAGGGTTAACAATTTATTGCAGCCTACATATTATAGACGGATTTAATTTAATTGTCATAACGGATCACCCCAGCCTGACTTGCCACTAGGTAGAATGCATAGAGAGTCTATAGGGGTTGAGCATGTAAGGGACTTGGCTTGTTATAAACAATGCTGTTTGCATTAAACTTATTCCTCTTGCCTAAACACCCTTGGGAAATCAACCAGGTAATTGCACTGTCGACATGGATATGGTTAAAGATGCCTGAAAAGTGTTGCTGGCGTGCAATATCTGGACATTGCATAGTGCGTACAGTAGCAGCAGGAGTTCAGCGTTATCAAGCACAGTCTGTCTAGAAGATGAGAAATAATACATAACGCAATACAGTAGGGATATTAGAGAGAGAAAGTGTAATAATTGAATAGCATGGTTGCAGCTTGAGCAGAGGATTTTCATCAAACTGTTTTACTTTTATTCCATGTTGTAGTTTTTTTTATCGTTCTTTACTCATCGAGACAAATTTTTCCCTCATTAAAATGGAAAAATATTTTTATTTTCTAATTCTCAAAAATTTGCATGAATGAAAATTGAATGATGCCGCACAAAAAAAGGCATTTGCAATGCAAACAATCATTTTAACTTTGAAGAGTAATATTTATTTTCATAATTCTGTAACTGCATGCTACTTTGTAATAGAAACGAGACTCACAAAGTGCTTTATTCTTTCTCTTTGTTGAAACGTAAATCTGCATTATACATATGAGTACCTCATTGAACTTGGGAATGAAGTAGGAAAGAAAATGATTTTTTTTTACGAGTTAGATTTAGGGTTTTAATCCATATTTAAACCTGATTTTCGCAATTAAATGAACCATTAATTGCAGCTCATTAATCTGTATTCCTATTCCAAATGTTCATCGCCTTGTTGTTTTTTGTTTTGTTTTTTTAATTTAAAGATAGGATGTGATACTCTGGAAATATCTTTCTTCGAAAATTGTCTTGGGGGGGGGGGGGGGGGGGTTGAGAAAACAATAACATGTATTGTACACTGTGTGTATGCTACATGTACATTGTTTATAATGCAACACAAGCGTGTACAGTTTTGCCAGTGGTAAGCTAATAATAATGCACACCATTGCATCCATGTACCAAGTATCGATCAAAATAACAAAATTTGAAAATAAGATGGATTTTAACTCGGGGCTGTGAATATATGGAATACATGTGTCGGAGCAGAAGCTTCCGTGTATGTAGTGCAGTATGGCGCGCGCCAGCCAGCAAAGAAGACTGGTTGCCATTTCTACACAGCACAAGGTAAGATGCGATAAGCAAGCCTGCCAGCACATAGTGGCACGTTCTCTCTGCTGGTGTAGAGTTACATCAAGGCTCATTTTTACTGGTGCAATCCCATCGCACTCCTGGTTTCATGTTACCCCCTCCTACTCCAAGACCAACATGGTATCTTTATTTGAATAGCTGAGTGATGTATTTTACCATTTTAATTAAGAAATGCACTGAAAATGTATTACAGACCAGCCGTGTTTGGGTTAGACATTCATTATCAGTATTGCACATGGAATCAGTTATGACGAGGAAGTGGCAAAGAGAAACTAGGGTTACATACATGTACATGTCTGTGTGTTATGCACCGGCTAGTTTCAATGTGTACTAGCTTCCATAATGTTTGCTGGAATTCATATTTCTGCTAAATCATAAATCTCAATTGAATTCTATAAACAAGATATGAATTTTAAAAATGAAAATTGAATAACATTTTTAATTCATTTAAAATGGTATGGATATTTACCATTATAATCTAAGTCATCACCTTTAACTTGGATTCACATTACAGAGGGGAGCTAAACCTGATCAAAATGAATTTCAGAGTGCTTTCATGCGCATGTTTACATAATTGGAAATAGACAAAGACTTCACCCCCTGTTACAGATACGCACTGTTGCTATGGAAAATGTTTGAAAGAAAATAAAGCATCCAGAAAAGATGGATATCCTCAGAGATGGTAGCGATCCAAAAGGCGGGCACATGGGAGAAATGCAAATTGATCTAGGCTAGGGAACCCTATTAGTGCACATAGCTAAAAGCAAGGAGACTGTACAAACAAGAGGTAGTGAAAGCACTGATGATAACAATAGCACGCTGCCAATGTGTCCCCTTGAAAAAAAACCTCAGACTGGGGGACAAAGAATTGGGCTTTCTTCGACCCGGTTTCCCCCGATGGGTACGTTTCTATCCAGCCCAATGTGTACAATATCACGCCTGGATGCGGCAGGAGAGCTTTAACACGAAACGAAACTAAACCCTCGCATTATCGTCATCCACACATTGGGGCTCCTAGCTGCATCACACAAATCTTGCCGGACCGCCAAGCAGTCAATAAATCATGCGCAGATCATTATTCATGTAGCACTCCGAGAGATGAATATATTCTCATGGCATCGGCTTAAAGTGTAGATTCTCTTTTTGGTAGCTTTGTCCATATCTAGCCTTGACCATGACGTTCTAACAGCTGAATTTGTGGAACCGTGAATAGGCTTAATTTCCCTTTCTATTTCCCTGTTCAAGCGACACAATAGGGGTTACATATGTAGGATTTCTGTTGTGGTGGACTACAAAATGAGGTCCATTCACGTCTTCAGCTGTTGGTAAATGATTCGAGGACACAATAACAATAGCACCCAGGGTGTCTTTTCAATCGATGTAATTGGTTTGAAGTTTGTTTGTACATGTACATGTTCATAATTCGGCCTTCAATTCACGGGAGTTCTAAAGATGCACAGTGTGGAATTAGAAGTGCACATGACATTTCATTGAACCGTAGTACATCAATGTTTTATTGCTTTTATTTGATGAAATTGGAGGACGTGAACATAATATTTGCAGACAAAAGGGCACAAAAACAAAGAACTCACTTTCGTCTACATTAGATGTAGACATACTGATATTCACACAAAATGGGTATCTTTCTGGTTTATCAGGGGGAAAATTGTGCAAATTTGATTCATAGAAAAATGAATTTAAAACACTTTGTTTGAAGGGTAAGCATGACGACATGGCAGGCAAACTATATTACCAATGCATCCCTTGAATCCAATCTGCATGTATACATGCATGCGCTGTATACATCTTTCGACCTTGTGTATCATTAGATGCGGGTCATATACACACATGGTCTGCATCATTGATGCACCTATATCTATGCAAAACATTCCAAGTCGTCGTAGTCGGAGGCAATTTCCATTGTTAGGAAAGCATCTTCTTCCTCCACATCTGCCCGTCCTCCATCTTCCTGATCAAAATTACCTCAACGATGCAATAAATCATTGCTGAGGCCCAGACATATGGAGCAGACATTACCTCTTGACCCAGTCCTGTTATTCTTCCTATGCGTTGTCAGATTTATTATTTTGATTTCATGATGGCTGAGAAAGAGTCGTGCTTCTCACCTCGCGTCTAATTTCTTGTCATCAAGATTTGTGCAAGGTGCCGCACATTAGACTAATGCTTGTCAAGGATAAAAGAATTATTATTCATTCATTTGTATGAAACAAATTAGTAAAAACACACTATTAAGATAGTAGCTGATGGTAGGAAGAGATTATGTTTTGCAGTACTGTTTCATAATAATAGGAGTACATATGATAACGAACCAATGCCGTTTTGTACAGATTGCCTTACCATGCATCGATTTCACAATTACATGTAGCCTTAGCTCTAAATCCATTTTAATTTGATAGGCATTGGATTATCATTGGGCGTAACATGGGGACCATGAGCCATGTGCCGTAAATGAATATAGAGGGCAAATTAGACATGGATGCTGCAACGGTGTAGCTAATAACTGCAACATCATCGAGCATGAGAGGATGGAGAGAGATACAGTAATGTGGTAGTGTGTAGCCTGGCTGGCTGGGCGCGTAGGGTAAAGTATGCAGTCTGGTATGTGGTGGTGCAGTTCATGACCTACATAGGTGTCTGGGGATGAGAGGGGGGTGAAGCATGCTGACGCTGGACACAGAGGCGTGAAAGCATACAGGGCAAAATGATCAATAAGTGATGGAGCTGGAAGAAGACTAAGCCCATTAAATACAAAGCTTAAGGGCTGCTCCTCACTCGCTTGCTTGCTTTGGTGGGAGCTGCTCCTACCTACCAGTCGCAGCATGAGATTTCTCTTACCCTGTCCCATCTATAGAGCAGGCGGTGTTAGAGGAATGATGAAACAATTATTTGGGTTTCAGCTGGGATGGCTTGTCATCATGGGGGGATTTACTACATACACGCTACACCTTTACATTCCTTCCATCACATGGTGTACGAGTATGTACATTGATGCTATCTATAGACATACCACTGAAATATACCAAGTGCAATGAAATGCTAAGTTATCTATACTGGTAGTGCTTACTTTATGTAACAGGAACGGCCAGAAATACACAATTTGTAGGACATATCAAGAATTAATAATGACCAAATATGCATTTTTCTTTGGTATTTATTTTGGAGTAATGAACGAGACACCACAAGTCCTCTCCAAAGAAACTATCGTACCATTTTGTTTTAACCGGCGAAGAGAAATATAGCATTTCTATCATTCACCTCTACATGTACAGACTACTCGAGTCATTACAGTTAACCAGTGAACTGCATGTATTGCCGTAATGTTCCAGACATCCACATCTAATGCCGATCTTATCTCCTGAACAAGCGATAACTTTCATTTTTCCACTCCTATTCCTGCAACCCAAGATTTATGGCATCCAATATGTTAGCCTTTTGTGTTCAGCACAGATTTGCTTGCACATAATGTCCACCTTGTGTTTGTTGTATTGCGTCAGCAGTGGTTTGCACAGGAAGATAATTTGTCCCTATTCATCAGAGCATCTTTCAATTGCATCTCTGTTCCCCCCTTCTACTCCCTTATCGTCTTCCCCCTAGCAGACGTCTGCATTGTATGCAGTGCACAATATCCAATCTTGCACATGTTTACGGCCTAGACCTCCGAGAGCAGCATGCCGTGCACTTGACATTCTTCTATGCACAAAAGATCTCTCTAGTGGGTTTCCACGAAGATGGGGGGATTTACGACATCCATTTGTTTTATAGTGGAAATGCATTGTAAGATCTGCGGCCATATGCTCCGCCATCTTCCTCCTCTCATACGTAGTGTTCCAAGCCGGTGTCTTAATGTTTACTTTTATAATGCGATCTTTACCGTGATGGGTAAACATCAGTTGTCATTGTGCTTATTTATAAACTAGATCAATGGCATAACATATATAAATGAGAGGCACATCAGCCACTAGAAACACAAAGAAAATGCACAGTGAATGAATCTGTACCGTTTAGAATGATTAGCGCTGTTTGGTTTCTGCTGGTATAGATTAACTCTGTATGATTTGCTGGTGTGGGGAAGTAAATAGACATTATTGATTTCAGTTTTGATCTGTCTACATTTGCAGCTGTATCCTAGCTAGCCGTATACTGTCTGCACATATCTAGCTTTAACTTCATTGATCTCTGAAGCCACTTTGCAATAGTGTGAGAGGTGTAATGAAGGTGAAAATCAATTAGGAAATCATTATATGACAGTAACTTCACTTTGTGTGTATATAATACCAGTTGGGAAAATATTTGGTTATAATGAATGGCAGGACATCCATATACAAATGTATATACTTTTAACTACAATATTCCTTTACTTGATTACCTTTGGATATTCTCTTTTAGACAAGTTATTGAAAAATTATAAATGAAATTCATGAATAATGCAAGATTTTCATTGGAAATTCCATGTTGTACATGTTAAAATTGTAGTAAGCTCTGTTTTCTTGAGAATTAGAATAATAATGATTAAAGCGTTTGATAAAAATATTCTTTTAATGGAAAACAGAAAAAAAATGTTATTGAATATGAAAGTGAACGCTTGATGAAACCATCAACTTTTGAAAATACAGGTTGAAAAAAATTCCTTGTGATTCCTTCTTTAGTGATATTTTAATACTAGACACTAAATGACCATATTACATCATTCCAGGTAACTTGTTGGTTAATTTTAGAGGTCAAACTGTCCTCTGACCTTTCCGCCTCGTATCTTGATTTATTTTTCCTTGTTTTTTTATTTTTATCTGCTAATGTATTAACAAACTTTTCTTTCTTGATTTTTTTCATCAATTTCAGACAACATGGAGGCCCAGACGGTGCAGCCCGCGATGCAGAATGGTGGACTTATGAAGCCAAACGTTGTTGGGGTCGGGGGTGATGAGGACAGCAAGACCAACCTCATTGTAAACTATCTACCACAAAACATGGCCCAGGATGAGATGAAGTCACTCTTTGGAAAGTTTGGAGAGATTGAATCCTGCAAACTGGTCAGAGATAAGCTAACAGGTGAGTGTTAACATGATTCCATATATAACTATTATTTATCATTCTCATCATGTTCTCTCTTTTAAACCATGGATACATTAACCACACCATGTTGTGAGACCAACTGTTGGCTTCATACATGTAGGTGAATGCAATCTACTTTCCACATCTCTCACAGGTTTCTAATTCTAACAATAACTAGCAAAGGTATTATGAATTCTGTTTTAATTTATCTTTTTATCCTATTTTGATTTTCATAACTAATTCAAACTCTACATCATTTGAAATAATCAGCATATGGAGCCACTCTTGCCAAGTCATAAACCAACGACTATTTGATTTACTATGAAGTAAATTAAAATTAGATGATTTTCAGAATATCATTTTGGGCTATCCGTATCATTTAGACCCTGATACACAAGAACCCCCCCCCCCCCTGCCCCATGAACATACACCCCATCCAGGGTTTAACCTGGACTCTCAATCTCTTTGGATACTGAAGGGAAAAAATTGTGTGTGTATAGATCGAGCCCTGCAATGGCCTATGTATCATTGTCTACCAAGAGGAAGGGTATTAATACAAGTGGCATTAAAAGTAAAAATAAAAAAGTCTGTCATTATCAAATTTAGTATGACGTCACACTTAGGTACTCTATCTGCATTTGATTTCCCAAATATTGCCCAGCTATAACTAAAATGTTGGATTAGTGAACAATTCTAACACTATGACACTTGTAATTTCATTTGCCCCCCCCCCCTTGGGTTGGGGGTTGGGAAGGATGAAAGGTTGGCCATGTAGTCTATATACTTTTTTTTTACTAACAGCTGTTGATACAATAGGTTAACAAAACCTTCATTGAAAAGGAAGTGATTTCAGAAGTTCACCTTTTCTTCCAACCTAAAAAGATATAAATTAACCTTTAGGAATAGCAAAATCAAATTTTCAAAAAGGGGGCAGCAGAAACCATTATGCAGATTGATCATAAATTCTCAAAGACGGTCACTCCATCAAGTAAGAACGTGAGAAATGCACTGAAAAACCTGCTCCAAGTTTCTCTCTTGTTTATTCCAAGTTGCCATGGTTTATAAGAGTCTCATTAGAAATCATGACAACGTGTGCCGCTGGCAATTTTCTTCTTTTCTTGCTTGCTGCTGCTACACGCTTGTAATCTGCGACGGCCATCACCCACCTAGTGTGTTTAGTGTTTGGTTGATGAACGAGGCATGCCAGCCTCCATGTCACGGTTCATAGGCAAGACAGTGATCACCATTTCACATCTGAGACAAACACACTCCAATTAGATTAGCTTTTAGACTATGAATGACCTACACAACCTTGGGAACCAGAGCGCACAGAAATCGATACAGAAAATCTTCAAAGTTAAGAGTGTAGCTGCACAAGTATCAATTTTATTCCCATCTCGTGTCGTGGTAGGGGGGAAGAAATCACATAGGAATCGATTGGACCTTCTATGACCTTACAGCAGTATTCCCTTTTCAATGTCATACCTTCATCTATAGACAGGAAGATATATCTAGAACACTAATATATACTCTAACATAATTATAAGATTTGTTTTCTATATGGTTGAATTATACTGATGAATATCCACATCTTGTGTGATGGGTTTAATATGAATATGCAAATTAATCATGTTAATTACAAAGATACAAACCTAACATTGAAATGAAATGGATGGATATTCTTTGAAGTCAAATGAAGCTTTCATGCATCCAGCAGAAGCCAGAAGTGATCCGGCCTCATGGAATGAATTATTAAACCTTATTTGGAGGAGGCAAAGAAGAAAGTAATTTTAGACTGTGGGAGCATCTTATTTCTGCCCATTCAGTATTCATGACGAGGTCTAATCATTAAACTTAATGATCCTTCTTTGTGTGGATAGATTGAAATTATGCATGAGAAAAGGGGCTATGGATGTGCATGTAGGTGATGAACGCTCATATTTGAAAGCCTGGGGTGCATAAATGCAGTGTGCGTGGCCATGTATATCATGCGTGCAGGGATTAAGCCGGAAAGCGAGTGCTTCTGTCTGAATCTAATGAATCCATGCGGCCAAAAAGGCATTTCTGTTCGTGGTTTGTGTGTACTTGACTCCTCTATTCATTTATTTTGACATCCGCATCTCTCCGTGTCATTCATTTCACAAATTTAGGAGCTGGCTCTCTTTCCATTTTGTACATTGTCAATTACATGATTTATGAAAATGCTGAAGCAAGACTGGTGATGGGGGGTGCAGGAATGCTGTACACTTTCGATTCACATGCATGTTCATTAGAACACAAATTGTTGGTATACAAAAAGTACATGTTCTTTACATCCTATTATACAGTCGGAGAAAAAAAATGGAAAGCCAGATTTCATTTCCTTTGTCTGAGATGTAACCTTATGAAGTACATGTAGATATGTATGATCCAAATTAAATCATACATTAATGGGTGAAATATAAATTATCCCCAAAATGGTAGGCAGACATTCAAACTAACATTGCTTGAAAGTCTCAGGAAAGAATAATATAAGAAGTATAAATGCTAGATTTGTTAACATGTTAAACAATGACGGTGGTTCTTCTACATTGATGGCTGCATTTCATATTATAACCGAGGCATGGAAAAAACATCTGAGGTTTGCCAACTTGGCATTTGTTTTCAGCAGATATGCACCAGGAAGTAAAAAGGGAGACAAGGAAATAATAGTAGGAATTGGAATAAAACTAGGACACTCAAGGAGTAAACTGTCAATATTCCCGGTTCAGATGCAATCGATCTATGAATAGCTGCATCCCTCATGAGGGCTCACCACCTGACAATCATCCCCATTTCCTTTTCAAACATTTCACATCAAGTTCCTTTCGTCTATGTAAATCGGTGATCCAATCATAAGTGGGTGCCACCTGCTGTATATGAAATTGCTTCTTATCTGATTGTGAAAAGATCATTTGATTACAGTTGAAGCTAGGTCAGTCAGGGCATAGGCAGACATTCAGACAATGGTTGTACGTTGGACATGTACAACGCAGTGGCGACTACGGTGGACACTGATCTATATATGTGTGTAGGTGTGCATGTATACATCAACTGGCCTGTGCAGAAGGAAACCATCACATGTTCACTGTGTGTGTTGGAGACCTTGGACATCATTTCATACAGAACATTCATTAATCATAAACAAACCCAGCACACAATTATTACAAGTTATCAAAACGATCAGCAGAGATTAAACTGTCACACCATGCCTGGCTTTTTTTGCTTTTTTTTCATACGTTATCCCTGCAGACAACTTCCCTGTCAAAAACCCATTATCATAATTGATCCCCAAATGGAGTGCCTGTATTCTTTATTGTAATGTACGTTTTGCATTCACTGTCAACGGACTAAACGTGGAGAGTGTATATTTATAACCTCGACTTCATGACCTTCCGTTTGTGGACAACCAGGGACTGGCCGCTCTCCGTTAATTAAAAAAGCAACTAAATTTTGCCAAGGCGAGCCTTGTTGTACTGCAATATTCTTATTTACCCAGCAAACAGAATTGCAATGACAATTACCACTACACATTAACTATGATTTGCCATCGAAAGCTCAATCTACAAATAAACCTTTGCCCAGTGCTCGGGAATCAAATTAAATTTTCATGTAAGAATTCAACGTCTAAACCAAAATATCTAAAATGTTCATTTTAATCAGAATTCATGTGCATATAATTTCGTAGATTAAACATCTACAAAGTGCTCTTTTATTTTGCAATTAACAAAATTAATAATTGATTTTAATTTTTGTGGTTTTCTATGGATCCATAGGATTTTTTTTTTGTACCAATAATGTCCATTAAATTTATCGCATCCTTCCATATTTAGTAATGAAACCTATGTACACGGGAGTTATTCTCACTTTCCTATGAGATCTATACATTTAAAGGAAAAAAACAATCAGTTAAAATATTAATGAAAACTCTAAACAAAGGGCTTTATATATAGAAGCCCATATAACAATGCACCGTACATGTGTAATCAATGGGCACTGTGTTTTGAAAAGCATTCAGTTTGGTCGTCCAGAGAAAAAGATGGTGCATTGGAGTGGAGGCTTACATTACAGAAGGCAGTGTCTTCAACCTGTATCCCTTGCATGTATACTTGCCGTGGGACGACGAAGAAGAGGAGGAGGCAAACGCAATGCTCCGTGCATAACTGATGCAGATGTAAATGTCTCGCTATAGTCTGTGGTTATCTCTTTCTCTCCAAATCTTGCTTTTAACATGATTGATGTTGGGCTTGAGCCAGGGGGAAGACAAAATGAAGTTCAAGGAAAAAGAAGAAAGAGGAAAGCAGTGAGAGGATAGCAAGATAATGGCAAAGTGCAAGCATTACCGCATTAGAGAGCACAGATGTCACATTTCTGATGTAAATCGTTGTCTGTCTATGCTTTGAGGGGCAACCTGCGTCCTTAGACCTCTAGGCCAACCAGGATGCAAGCATCGATGTATATACAATATGCAACCTGTAGTGAAAAGACAATTTGAATTGACAATATCTAGAATATTGGGTCGGGTTTAGGATGCATTCTTAATCTGTTTGTTGATGTAAATTTAGTGTAATAATTTCATGTCGATTTTTAAATGATCGCCGATGGCAACCATCCAAGCACAATATTAGCTGTAAACTCTAGAAACACTTCAATTTACATAAGGATTAAGGGAAAATGATTAGAAGTAGAGTTAATTTCTTCAAACTATGCATGGCATTGCATACATCACACTGTCTAAACCAGAATATCATGACGCAAATAAGGGCAAGCTATAATTTCATTTGGGGCGAGACAGACATGAACTTCTGCCACCCATGTGCAGTGCAGGAATTACTGGCTCACATATGGTTTTCCAATCTTCCCGGGCATGGGGGGTAATTGTGTCGTCTTTCAATGGCAATTCCATTGAAGAAAAAAATTGCGTTAAGTGATAAACAGATATGATCGCTAGAAGGAAATAGGAAATAGACGTGTGCAATGGTGATTGTGCTGTGCTTATTTTAAAAAATGTTTGTTTAGAACTTCATGATTATTTCTCCAGCTGGTCATTTTCGTAATAAATTGTATTACAGTTACTGTAAATGCAGAGATCTAAAGAATTAAAAACTAGAAACTAAAATAGAAACTACTGCACTGTTACTCATTTTGTAAGAAATATGTCCTTGTTTTTAAAGAACACAACCTGAAATAAATGATAAAGGTGCTGTAAAGAAGCATGATATAGGTTCTTTTACAGATGTGTAAAAAGGGAATGATAGTGACAGAATAAATTTACATATTAAGACCTTTGTGTTGATGAAGAGTTCCCATTTATCTTTCATGCTTGCCTTCATTTTCACCTCTAACTGAGCAGGATATCCTGGCCAGGCACTATGAATATCCAAACCTTCAACTCAGATTAAGCATTGGAAGATGGGACATATTGTATTTGTGTATGTGATGGTAGCTAGTCTAACTGGGCTTTATAGGAGGGTGTTCTGGGACACAGGTTGCTCCCGATTAGCCACTTCCTTCCTTGGCGCGTGTGTGGATGCTTGATAATGATCACAGACAGCAAGAAAGAGAGAGAGAGAGAGACAGAGACAGAGACAGAGTATGAAATGGGGTGAGAGAAGAAAAAGAGACACAAAGGAGGAAGGAAAAAAAAAGGAATGAAATAGTGAAAGGGAGATAGAGAGGGGGAGAGAGAGAAAGAGGGAGAGGAGAGAAAGAGGGAAAAGAACAGAAGTAGAAGGAACAACAGAACTATGAAGTTTATCTGTGTTAAATGTTAAAACATTTTGTTTATTAACATGGTTATTTCAGGGATCCTCTCAAACTTAGATGTACATGTAAATGTTATTTTCAAAAGAATGAAATAAAAGGATGTGTTCTTTTTATTAAAAGAATTATTTCTAGACCTTGGTAGTTATTTTGAATTTCAGAGGGATCATTTTTTCAAATTCAATCTCATTGTGAATTAATTTATTCATAAGATAGCCACTTAATTTTTCCAGCTGAAATGAATCTCTCAAACATTTATATGTAACTTGAGTATTGTAAAAATTCATTAATCACAAGCCATCCAATGTTCGAACTGGTTACAAGGCCGTTTTTCTTCAATGATTTATTTAGTTTTAGTCTTCTTCCCTCAGAGCACTGTGAAGCATTCATTCAATATGATTTCATATCACTTTACACTTGAAACTTGTTGCTTTAAAACCATAATTGATTTGGTGAAAGAGAGGTGGTGTATATCACTTACAGTTGGGATATATAAATTTTCTTTTTATCTGAATAAGATTTGACATTGTTCATTCTGTATCTCTAAAAGTTCCTCGAACGTTTAACCCATTACCTATAAGAACCGAGTGGCTCCTGTGTTAAGTCTATTGGTATGAAAGAATCAAGTAATCAACGGGCTATAAACAGACTTGCACATGTATCTGTTACCGTTTTATATTCTGCTCTTACTTCCTATCAATCATTTGCGATTATTCCATTTGTCAAGACTTTATTATGGTGTATTAAAAGTACAATACTGTACATAGACGTATGGCATGGTATGACAGATTATAACAATGTGACTGTACTTAACCTATCCTTTTGAAAACTAACAACGCATTTTGAGACAACTTATCTTTTTCATATTTGAAATATAATTTGATTTTTTAGTAGATTTTTAGACCTATTTATTTATTATTTCTTTTCTTTTCTTTGCATTTTATTTTGCATTTTACAGGCCAATCTCTGGGGTACGGGTTTGTGAATTATCTCAAACCCGCAGATGCCCTGAAAGCCGTCAAGACATTAAATGGATTGCGTCTTCAATGTAAGACGATTAAGGTACAGCAAATTTTATATTATTTCTTTGTTTGGTTTCGTCTTGCATGTCTGTGTATATTTTGTCTCAATCTATTATTTTTGATATACTTTTGTTTATTACATTTTCCTACGAGAGTGTACTCATTTTATCCATGGTGTTTTTATTTTGAATCTCAAAACTTTGTCTTGAAATATTATGCTGCAAAGGTGTGTATTGATGTTCATGCTTTTATGCAAATATGCTTGCAAAAGTATCATTTAACTCTATCATTGATGATGAATATGTTATCAATATTTGATCCTCATTAATACTAGATGTGACATGGGTTCGAAACAGTCGTTTGTATAAGTTTGTAGACATCCAACTCGTCCCCTCCAAGAAGAAAAAAAAAAAGATATTCAAAATGTAATGGATATGTGTTCCACAATACTATGGTCTACCACAAATACTTTAGGTTATTGTAAGATATTCTTTACTTCTGTATTTCATTTTGATTTATTATATGATCCCTTTGAATGAGACACTTTTTTCAGTCATATCCAAATCGGAACTAGATGGACAAAAAGTGGCGTAGAAATTGATTTTCATTTGATCTTTCTCAGAAAATACGGCACTGAAAATTTTGCAGGATGTTAAGTCTTAGCTTGACTACATGTATAGCACCAATCAGAGAGAAGGGGGGGGGGGGGGGGAGAGAGATGATGCTCTGAAATTACCCTTCCTAAATACCCTAATGCTGTAGTAGCACGAAAGACAGTAAAATGCTCTCAAATAAGGGCTTGCACAAGCTTGAAGCATTAGGAGGGGGTTAAGGGATGTCTAAGATAAATGTCTGAAAATTTGTATTACTCACCAAACCACATGGGAAGGAGCACTAGATTTAATTTCCTGCAGTCCCTCAAATCTCTACTTTTTGTAATTGGCTTCAAGAACATTCTTTGATCCTTTGTGCACCTTGGTTTGAAAGTGATATAATGCCTTACATGTATGCGGGTCCACTCCTGACAGTATATAGTATGCTTTCAGTATTTCATTTTCAACATTGTTCAACTACACGTTGTAGGTATTTATTTTACAACATATTTTTACACAGCAACTCAGAGATACGACCCATTTTTACACTTAATGTACTCTGAACTCTAACTCAAGATTGCATTCAAATACATATTAAAAATATTCAAAAGTTGAATCCTTGGAAGACATGTCTGTTTAGAGCCAGAGGGGTATTAACTACATAGGTATTAAGTATTATGTTGTAACATCCTTCTTGCTGTCAGTAGACTATACATACAGTATGTTAAAGGCCTATATAGTATTGCTTGAAATAAAGTAGACACCAGAACACAAAGTCGCACCAAATTCTATGAAATAATACATGCAGTCATGACTCCGTGTGAGAGTGTCCACTTTATTCAAGCAATACTGTACATGAAGCTTTTGGCATAACTGCAAGTCTATTTGAGAAAAAAGAATATCAAGCAATTTTCCTTTAAAGAAATCCTGTTCACATTTATATTCATGGAGCCTACACGTAGAAGCATTACATTTTCTTTTGAAAGTTAAAACTCCATGTATAAGCACATGAATAGCACAGTTGTATACCCCAAGCAATACGGAATATATTCTCAGAAATGATGGCTACATGTAGCTAATTGCCTCCATTTATCTTCACAATCAAATGCAGAAGAGTCCATTTATTCACTGGGCAATTGTATGCTGGAAGTCTTTAGAGACCATGACCCATGTACATTATATTATATGTACAAACATACCAGCCAATATCTTATCCATACACTACCCAAGCAGGAAGACATCATGTACATGTATATACTAGTGCTTAATTTGCGAGGACAAGAATGACTTCTTATAAAAGACAGGGTGGGGTAGAGGAAGAGGAAAGGGTGGGGGTGGTAGGAGAGAAGATGGTGGGAGGGAGGTTTGTTAGAGAAATCATAACATTGAATTTGAATTTAACAAAATGGAAGGGGAGAATGCCTCTAGTGATGGGCAGGGAAAGAAAGGGAAAGACAAAATTTGGATTTGGAGAATTCCTATGCTGGTGGTAAGGTGGGAGGGGTAGAAGAGAGCATAAGAGAACAAATTGTGAGAGGGGAGGGGGGGGGGGGGAGAAATTAGAATGGGAGAAGACCGGTGGTGCAGCTGTTTAAATTTCTAGTCCAATCCCTATGGGTGATGACTGAGCATTTCTTTCCTAGTGTAATCCTAGATAAGGAGACACCGTGGCCACAACAAGTCTGGGTAAAAATGAAATCTCAACCATAGAGGGAATTCATAAGGTGTTTTCATCCATCATCCATAATATTCCAAACTGTTGATGATATAAGATGAGTTCCATATGTTGGGAGATTAGTGTGAAAACTTGGTTTCTTTGAGAATCTGGACCCTTTCATAAGACTTGTTATCAAGAACAGGTTACAATCAAGCTACTAAAATCATTGCATTTGAATTGCTGTTTGAAAAATGTTAAATGCATGATTGTGACAGTCATTCATTGCAGTTTTTTTATGAAACACAGCCTACATGTACATGTACATGTACATGTACAGGTAGCTATAATAGATTAGTGGACATGGATACAAGCCAAGGGTAGTGCCCTCATGTCTTCAAAGCTAGATTATTCAGCTTATCTTGGAATTAATCCCTAAAAGCAAAATACTGGTCAGTGTGCACAATGCAACTTTGAAAATTGCAGGGTACCCTTTAGCTCTCTGTATTTCCTCAAAATGTCTCTTATTCCCAAGTCCTCCATCTATTCCAATACCAGTAGGAGAAGAAAGCCTTGATACCCCAATACATGGATCTATCCCTACCAGCTGTATTTGGGAGTCTTGTGTATTAAAGAAACCTTGATTTGCAGGGCTGCATCAGTGTTTTAGCATCTTCATGAGATAACCAGTAATTGGATAGCAAATCCTCCTGTGCAGGTTGATCTGTGCACAATGCTTCTAATACTGCTTGACTTCTCTATGAATAAATCATGACCCTCACTCCCCACTTTCTCTTGTTGCAGCCTGGCTAGCTGTGTATAGGCAACACTGTGCATTAGCGTGACTGTTTATTTGATGCCTGCTGTATATATATATGTATATGCAGCAGCAGCGGAAGGAAACGGGCTGTCTTCCTGTATGATCAGTTGGTGTGTACATTATTCACCAGCCTATGACTAGATTAGTAGGGTTTAATTTAAAGGAAATTGTGCTTTGTATTTCTCTCTGAGTAATATCCTTTTCAACATGGAGGTGTGCATGGAACATATGGCACACAGGTGAACTTTTAGAATAGCCAGTCATGAAAGGTTTATTTACGTTCCACTGGGAAAGTCATTTTCAATACACGAAGGAATAAATGATACCTTCCCATGAATGTACAATACATACATACATACAGTATGCACAAGTATATATTTCAAATGAAAAATCAAGATTGTGTGGAATCATAAATTTCAAACTAGTTTTTCTATTTTTGTTATTGTTCACATTGACCTTGCATGGACAAGGAAAACAAATGCATTTCCCCAAAAGCAAACAAAAACACATCACTAATACTAATGACAATAGTTTCAATTTATTTACATGTATTGCATTTTCCATTGGATACAAAGCACTACATCATACACACATGTAAGTGGTGATATAGACCCAGCTACAGTCAACTGTTATTTGAAGAAACAATGTCTTGAAAGGGACAAAGAAATTATCAAAATTAGAGGTAAATACCTCAAACATCCTTGATATTAATTGAACCCATCTGGTGGATGAAATCTCTCATCACTTAGTCAGGCAATTTATTTTTCACTCCTCCACCCTTAACCCCATTGTTATGTGTAGAAAATGAGAGGACTCTGTTTGGCCATGCATTTAGTGGTTGGCAGGAGAGAGGGAAAGAGCGAGCTAACGCCAGAGAGAGCTCCGAAAGAGCAATATGCAGTGGATTTAGATAGGGTTGGTTGCGAGATGTGTTGATGTATTGGAATTGAGGGCAGGACGGATGCCTCTTTTCTTTCTTTTCTCTTTCTTACTCTCTGTCTGCCTGCATCTGTTCAAATAAACTGTCAATCTGAACTGGCCCATTCAATCAACTCTGCTACACAGTCGAGGGATTTGCCTCAAAGCTGGACAAGTTGACTTGCGATTATTAGTGCATTTTTTTGTTTCAAAATCAATCGTCGATGGGATGGGCATGAAATTTCATTCCTCTCCACCCTTGATTACTATTTCTAATTGTCTTCCTCCCCCTTCACACACACTCGCCTTTAAGTTCTATTGTCCCAGACCTCACCTAGAACCTGTCGGGAGCAATAGTATATCATGGGCTTCAGAGATTAACCCCTTCTATACCACAAAGTTTGTAAGAGTTAGCATAAATGAATGTATAATAGTTAATTTGAAGCCTAATTAAGTCTTTGTTACTTTGATAAAATGCACCCCTCTAATAGAGGACATTCTTAATTTAAAAATTAGCACATTAGAAATGCAGATTTAATTTAAATAAAGACTTGGTATCACAAATGTAAATGTTTTTTCTTTGTACCGCAAGTGATACTTTTACTTGAGAGTTCTTATTAAGAAGGAAACAATTATCTTTTCAGGAAACTGCTTATTACTTTGTGACTTGGCACAAACAAAACCTGACGAGAACCACCAACCTGTGTTTCTTGATAACAGGCAGTGAAATAGTCCCAATACACTATAGTGGTTGTCTGTAGGGATTTAGTTTGATATTCAGAATGGACTGGCCTAAAAAACAATGACTTGATATCTCAGGCGAGTGACTATAAATTTAGGCCGGGTGTTATTATGATTTGTAATCCTACCCAAGACACTTGATTCTTTATGTTTAGCATTGATTTGTGCATTATTTTATGTTCAGTGTTCTTTGTCTTCATCTTTGTCTATCATTCTTTTTCTGTCGTTATATTTTGGTAATATTGCATTTTATAAAATATGCCCATTATATATGCCTTTCTCAACTGTTTTTATGTGTTTAGCCAATATCTTTTAGCTTTATATCTATGTGAGCAAAGCAAATTTCCTTGTCAAATGCATATTGAACAAATACAATAAATCGATGAATGATCACTTATCCAGTTTTTTATTCTCACATATTTGGGATTAAAACTAACCGGTCTACTCATTACTAAATAGAAATGACAATGTTCAATTACTTGTATTTCATGGGTTTGTTGTACCACTTCTGATTTCAAAATGATAAAAACAATGTACAAAAAGTCTAAAGTTTACATTTCTCTTTTGATTTGACTATTTTCAGGTGTCATTTGCCCGCCCATCTAGCCAGGCCATCAAGGATGCTAACCTTTACATCAGTGGGATTCCAAAGCACTACGGACAGTTGGACTTGGACAATCTCTTCAACGCATTCGGTCGTATTATCTGTTCTAGACTTCTCCTCGACCACGAATGCGGTGAGTCCGGTAATAGAAAAACAAACATTTCTCTTTCAGTAGTTTAGTTTTATTTAACTTATTTTATAGAACTGCATGCAGACTTATAACGCAGGATCTTTAAACCAATCCTGTGATAAAAAGGAACTTTTCCTAGTTTTATTTGATACTATGCTTGAAGTAAACTTGCACGTGATAGTTAACTAACAGGTACTGAAGACAAAAGACTGTTTGACTACCTTCTGATAATAAAACATTCTTGATTTAAAAAAAGTTCTTGCATGATAATCTATAAATCATTGGTAGTTTGAGTAAGTGGTTTGGATAAAGCAGGGTAATAATTTTATGGACTTCATGAAAGAAAACATTGTCTGCTGGCTAAACTATTTAATTGGATCCAGTGAAAATATATTGTTTTTCCATATTTTGTTTTTTTATAAATTAGATTAGCTAAGGCAAACTTCAAAATATTGTATTCAATACCAGAGTTTACAATCTTTAATTTTTTTTCTTTTTCTAATTCTAAAAAGGAGCTTTCTAGATTCACTCATCTCTCCCTCGTCTATTCTACTGATAATATTTCAAAGCATTTTCGTAAACGACATATTTTCAGGGGAAAAAAAGCTTTGTACAATACCAAATCAAGCATGCATACGGTTTGCCAATGTAAGTATGCCAGTTTGCTTTCTGTATCGTATCATTATCCGTTGTGTTTTGTTCATTTATACAGGACGCCCTCGCGGGGTTGGATTTGTACGATACGACAGACGATGCGAGGCGGAGAAGGCCATCGAAGGGCTCAATGGCAACATCCCTCATGGAGGAAAGGACCCTCTCATTGTCAAATTTGCCAACAACCCTGGTCAGCATTACCAGAAATGCTTGCAGCAGATGTACCAGCAGATGCCCATCATCTCCCCCACCCTATCCCCAAGGCGCGTTGGAGGACCCGTCTCTGCTGGCGGCTCTCAGAACTTCATCGGACCCATGCGACACATGGCTCACTGCTTTCGGTAAGAGACAATCTCTTTCTATCCTCCTTTAAACCCCCAACCTCACATCATTTATCCATCTATAGAATCCACAACATGAATTCCCGGTAGCAGCCATTTTTTTTTTATTCGGTTTTCGTCTCTCTTGACACACTCTGGCGTGACTCAATCTAAATAAGGTTGCCACAGTTGATCATCGTTGTTGGGCATTGCTTTCATGTTCTTCTCACCGTTCGCTACAGGGAATACCAATCAGCAGATTTGGTGAATACAATGGCAAACAATATGCCGTAAGTGGTGTGATTGAAATGTAGTCATAGTTGGAGGAAAAAAGAAGTAATTCAATACCAGTTTTGTCTGAATATTGGGGAGTAGAATACAAAGACTATGAGATTGATGTTGGGGGGAATTATCTTCCAGTCAGGTATGTGTCATCAAATTTGATTTCATATCACTGTGTCATATCCTAATATACCGCTGCGGAGGAAAGATTCTGTGGTATCATCTTTACTCTAACTATGGATTTGTGGACAAAGCATTGATTCATTATAAAGTAAACAATCAATGAAAGATTCGTGCCTTTCTACTCATCGAAGCCCTATTCAGACAGAGGTCCGTAAATTGGAAGAAAAAAACTGCGCAAAATTAAATGAGATAAATTAGTGTGCGTCATATTTCTGTATTTGTAACTCACAGATTAGTGAGTTTGCATAGGGACCATTGTTGCGTGCTGAAATGTTTTCATCTCCAAATATTGCCTCAAAATTTTACACGCACAGTTTTTTTTTTTTGCGTTGGCGGTTTTCTGTGTTGTAAAGTGTGTATTTGTCGCTTCATAGAAACAGAATTGACTGGTGAAAGATGGTCTCAAAACAAGGACTAAGGCATCTCGTAATGGTTTTTCTGGTTCCTGTTTAGGAGTTTAAGCTTTGTCTTTTGTCGGACTGAATGAAAATACAGACTACTTGGGTACATCAGACTTATAAAATTGCATCATGAATCTGCACAGGGTGTACATATATCTCCATTCTGCACTAATTATGCAAAAGTGTTTCTATAATCATTTGGTTAAAATTAAAAGATAGAAATGAGAGTTTGAAGATGAAGATACAATCTTACTCAGTTAAAGAACAAAGTTAAAGTTAAAGCAAAATGATCATCCCTAAAGGGTTTAATTTGTTCACATTGGATTTTTGAAGACAATGCTAACACTACCTCCTTCAGTTCTGCTTTTATATGAAAAAGAACAACAATTTTGCTCCTTTTTTGACCCACCAAAAGTACGATATTTTTGTTTTCTTTATTATGTTTGTCATATACTGTTCTTTGGGTAATGAGTTTTCTTTTTTTTTTTTTTTCTTTTTTTTTTTTAGGGGGGGGGGGGGAGATTTTTGCTATGAAATGGCTTTATGTCATAGCCCCCAAAACGTTAAAGGTCTTGGCAATATGCTTTAGGATTTAGCAAAGCTATAAATTACACTATAATAATACAATGTAAATGTTTTAAGATAACGGACGATCGATCCAGGTTTGTCTGCTTGGAGCAGGAAAGGCGTTTACTCTCAAACTTTCACCAAGATTCAATGCCTATTCTTGCTCTAAGCAGAGGACGTTCACAATATGGTAATGTCATATTCAACATGGCTCGTTGATCCATCGAATCATGAGGCCGATAACAAACAGAAATATCCTTTCACCTCCAGTAGTAAAAGAAAGAAAAATGATCACCCTCCTTTTTTACCCTTGGTGGTGTGTCTGTATCTCCTTCCCCATGGTGTGAATACTGTGTGTTAATTTCTGCTCAGAGAGTGATATACTCCCCAGCTAGATTGAGGTGTGCTTGCCGAGTTGTTCTTTAGACTGCCTGTATAGATAGAATGATGTGTGATTAATCAATATTTCTTAAGAAGAAGAGGAAAGATAGTGAACGAAAGATGATGTTTATTTTAGTTGGCAATCTTACTGTGAAAAGGAATTCCGAACTCCCTACTTTGTATTTAGGTGGCAACAAATGGGTTCAAAGATGCAGGGCTTGATTGGCAAACTCTTGCCAAAGAATTTCATGTGAGTACACTTGAAAACAACAAAAATCTGTTTCAACGTTACGTTGAGTTCTTTTAGTTGAGTTATTTTTTTGACAGCCCTGTTAACCGTTGGCTGGTCAGTGTGTTGTGTGCATGTTCACTTTACAGATGAAAAACTGCCCTTTATATATCTTCTCTTTTTTTTACATGCTTTTTATTTTCTTGAGCCATGCTGTTACTCCTTACTGATATCCACCGTTTCTTAGTTGTGTTTCCTTTGATTTTAACGTTCAGCTAAATTCAGTTCAACATTGTTACCAAAAAAATAACTTTCTTTATAAATACCTTCCAAATTAATCAAATTGATGTTATCATACATCCTGACTACTCTTGGTGTGCTAATTGTGATACTAACACCTAGTTCTATCTAAGTGTTTCATATATGACCCATCCGATGTTTGAAATTAGAACATTATCATACTTTTCTGTCCATTCTGTAGTCATAGTAGTGCTTGTGCCAACGCCATGTTTAATAGGTGTGCATCGACCCAACATGTTTTTTTCTGATAATGGACATGCATTGCCATTTCAAACTTGAGGGGGGGGGGGGGGGGGGGAGTGTGCCAAATGAAATTAGGAATATTCCTCAGTAAATAACCAATCATTCCTTTATAATTAGAGTTATCCTGCATTTTGTGTGTGCATCCATTTCTTTCTTTCCATTGTATTTTGTGTTGACTGCCTATAACGTCTGGTAGGTGAAAGGATATTTTCAATTAGCAACCCAATTTACATACATTCGTTTCTCCCACCACCTTCATTGTATATACTTTTTACATTTTGTATTTTTTTTAATTTACAAGCCACACATCATTGTTAAAAAGATGTTTCTAATTTGTCATTCCTGTTTTGATGTAATGGTTATTTATTTTATTTTCTTACAGCATCACTGTGATAATTATTAAACAGATTTATCTTTTTATTTCAGGAGTAATGACTGTCAATTGTCTGTTTCAAATTGTTTTTTCCTTGTGTTTGAATTTTGTGGTCTTTCTTGCCTAATAAGTTATAGTTTCATTGATAAGCCGTACTGGGTACATGTTTTCAACATAAGCATCTACCTCGATACCTCTACAACAAATATATGAACCATTCCTAAACACGAACTATGGCTTACTATTAATTTTCATTCTTCAATTACCTTTGAAAGAAAAATTGCCAAATATCTTAAATATAATTTGCATCAATACAGATTTATTTTGCATTCTCAAAACATGTATACTGCTCAAAGATATTGTAAATGCAATTTTCAATTGTTCATCTTTCAGTTAGGCATTTGAGTAAAAAATGAACAAAAAGAATGCTAATATTATTAAGCACATATTACACATTATTGAAAATTTGCATATAATTTATAAAGAATTCAACTTTTTAAGTATTGCGGGACATGAATACTTAATTTGTTTGTGAGGGATATAGATACTAAATTGATTTCTCTTTTTTTTTGGCTCCAGGTTCAATCCCATGACGAGCTCAGATGTGATATCTCACATGAACCTTCAAGCCATGACCAACAACGGACAGGGGTGGTGCATCTTTGTGTACAACCTGCCCGCGGACTGCGAGGACGGTCTTCTGTGGCAGCTGTTTGGACCCTACGGAGCCGTCACTAACGTCAAGGTGGTTCGAGACCAGCCCAACCAGCGATGCAAGGGATATGGATTTGTGAACATGCTCAACTATGACGAGGCTCTCAGCGCCATCAACACGCTCAATGGATACCAGCTGAATGGAAAACGCACGCTGCAAGTGAGCTTCAAGAGCAGCAAACAAAAATCATAAACTTTTTATAAAAGATGGCGACCGCCCGCCGACGGGAGAGGGGGAGGATTGCGGAGAGGCGTCTGGTGTTATTGTTTTATTGAAGAGCCTAAAAGAACTAAAGGCATATAACATCTTTGCAAGGACACATCAGTTTTTATTGGAGAACAAGCTGCAAGATATAGAGTTTTTTCCCTTTTTTTTTCCTTCTTTTTAAAATCCTGCAAAGGATATATGTGACGAAATGGTGGTAAGAGTTGAGTTGTAAACTCTGATTTCACTGTATGAATTGCTTTTATGTACCAGTATTTCATAATAGATTTTTTGATGAATCTCAGAGGAGTTCAAATTTACATAGTTTGCATCACAGTTGTTTCTAGATTAGCAAATGTATCTTCTAGACCATTTATTGATGTTTTATTCTTTTAAATCATTATTGGTGTTTGCATGTTTTTAAACACATCAAATTGTTGCGTTTATTACAAACAAAAGTAGAATTTATAGCTTGTTAGTAAGTCTATTTAAAGACAATTATTCAAAATTTGATATTATTACTTTTTGATTTAAGATAAGAAGGATGAATTATAATTCATTTGTAGTGTAAGTTGGTTTTAAGTGCAAGGTGAAATATTTTGTAACCTTGAGAATTTTAACATTGATTTAAATTTCTTTGTGAATTTTGTGAATTTTGTTGCATATGTATTGTTTTCTTTTTTTCTTTCTCTCTCAGAAAATCATTCCATATATGAAATTAGCAGAGGCAGGGTATGCCGAAATATGCTTCAATTATTGAATAGAAAATATTATGTCTATTAATATATTGACATTAACTTTGTGCAATGAGATGCATTGCTAGAAACAAACTATTTGATTGTAAAATAATGATGAAGAGTGATAGAGAGAACGAGGGATTGTATAGAGATATAACATTTGCTATATGATAGCCAATTGAGCAGTGGAAATTTCATAGATTCTTATCGTGCTGACAAAAAAAAAACACAACTCTTCCTTTTCTTCCTTCACAACTAGATACAAAGAATTTTTCAAAATTTACAATATTCAATTGAGCTTTCAATTGTTCTGGATATGGACTCTTCACTAATTTGTATATTTATGGTCCCAACAAAATAAAAAATGTGAATGTAAATAGATTATAATCCAACTTTACAGTTGTGTGTGACTATTGTGAACTTAATAGTAAATGTTCATCGGGATACGTTAAAGACTTTGCTATGAATGGGGGCAACGTTTTACTTTTTAGTTTTCCTAATTTTTTGATATTTTCATTTAAAGATCTAAATGAATTGGCTAGCAGGAAAAAAAAAAAGAATATTGAACAAAAACGAAAGGCTGATTTTGGATGTAGTTACAGAAAGGATTAATTTTGACAATTTTTGACATTTGTGTTTGATATGTTTTGTGATGTTTGTGTTTCCACGAGCTGTGTTTAGAAGTTTACTGTTGCAATATGTAGTAAACGGGTGCTACAATATGGAAACAAGTTACTGGTAGTACATCTTTTGTTTTTATTTAAAGAAAAATGCAAATTTGTGGTGCAGTATCTTTCAATGTTGCTTTCTTCAAAACAGCAAAAGAAATATGTACATTGTTGTAAGCAAATTAGAATACAAAAAATGTTACTTTTAGAAAAGCTAGTATTTGTAGCACCTAGAAAGGATTTTCTTTGTCAGGCAAAGTGCTGTAAAGGGAGATTGATTTATGCAAAGAAGTGCACATTATTTCAAGTTTAGTGTCTCCATTTGTTTTAAGTTCCAGTTAAATACACACCAGTTTTAAAAGAAAGAAGAATTTAAGTTGGATTTCATAACATGCAGCAGTTGAAGTAAACTTGTGTAAAAGTATATGTGATCATTCATACTCCGAAATGCCTGCAGATTTGTCAAAGAGTGTTCTGTGAATTCTGACATCCACTTTCCAAAGGTGCATTTTTTATAAGGCTTACTAAGAGAAGACTGGCGAGTTCTTTGACTGCCATTGTGGTTTGTAAACGTGTACAATACAATTAGGAAAACTGGTGTCCGTCTTGCCAGGTTTTTAAAAGATGCAAGACTTTGTTGTTAAGTTCATTTCTACATATGCCCACTATGCAACATACCAAGCACCAATCTGCTGCTACTGACTCATTCAAGTCTCCCCAGTTTTTCTTCTTGTTGAAGGTCACTTTCTATGACCAACAGAGACCAATGCCTTGACATTTCATTGTACAGAGAAAAGGACAAAGATGTATGAAATCTTGTATAAATAACTTAGAAAACCATCTATTGAACAATTTTTCTAAGAAAATAATAAAGAGACCGAGATGGTACTTAAACTAAGAAAACCTATTCCCTGAAATGCAGCTTTTTGAGAGCTTTTGATCTACTAACTATTTGTATGTGAAGTATTTTGTACAAAAGATTTGTACATAAGATATTAAGAAAAAGATAAACATTGGTTTCTACTACTTTTACCGCTAAATTGAAGTTCAAAGTTAGTGTAGATTTAACAATGGAAAGATACCAGGTGATGATCCACTGTAGTCATTCAGGGGGAGTATACTAGCTTACATGCATGTGTAGCTTCCATTTAAACAGAAGGTTATAAATCTTCTTTATAGACCTCTTTAAAACTCCCCTGAATCTTTAAGTTTAACATTTTAAAAGTTATTTCAAAGAAAGGTTGCACTAGGTCAAATAGAATGGTATACAGACATAGCAGAATATGTTGCCATATGACACAAATTTCCTTGTTTTTATCATTCTTTCTGTAAAAGTTTGTGTAAGAAGTGGAAAGATTTTACTACCACATAGGCACTGCAACCTTTTTTTAATTGAGTTTTTATGGCTCTGAAAGTCTGCTGTTATCACAAAAAGGTGTGTTTTAGCTGGAGCAGCAGAAGTTTGCAAAAAAGTCCACAAAGCATGAGGACGATCGATCGAAGGATGGGATATCTGCAAAAAAATCAAAAACAGAAAAAAAAGTACCAAGATCGGAAGAGCAAATTTTCATTTTTGGTTTCTTTCTAGAACTTGTTTGGTTGAGTATGGTATGTTGAGAGTTCCAACAATGAGTACATGTTTATTGTCTGAAAGACAAAGGTTTTGATAAAAAGAGAAAAGGAAAGTAACTTATATACGCTACATTCATCGCTTGTTTGTGTAGCTAAAATTTTACATGTTGAATATTAAAATAAACATTAAAAAAATAAAGCTAGCATTCTCAATTTGTCTTCTTTGAGTGAATTCTACAGGTAAAATGTGTTTAATACCAATTGCAATACTTTGATCTGGGCCCTGTTGTATAACACTTACAGATTACAGTAAACTTTGCCATTAATGTTAACTAACCGCCAATCAAATCAAGGTCACCATAGGAGTCAATGTTAATGGCAAAGTTACTATCAATGGTTATTTTTATGCAATATTATGATCTGGTCACCCTTTGTCATTAAAGAAGGAAATATGCCCTTCCTGAAGTGCCCTCGATCCCCTCCCCCTCCCCGAAATATCGGCTTGGTATACCCGTAGAAGAAATATTTATATATTGATATAAAGTAAGATATCTGCGATGGTGTGTTTGTTTGGTGTACCGGTGATATGATGAATGCTGTGTATGTTATGCATGTGTGTGTTGTATCATCAACAGGTGTGGTCATTGTATGTTATTTTGCCTTTACTATAGAAGCAAAATGAATGTGCATGATTATGAAACACTTGGATGATTGGTACTGCTATGACATCCAATGTATGGTATAAAATATCATTACTAGTATTGATATTTCTTTTTGATAAAAACAAATTCTTTTTTAATAAAACAAATGATTGATTACTAGGATTTCAATTAGAGAAAAGAGGCTTGGGGAAAAACGGCTTTTTTCATTAAAGCATTAACAGAAGTTTGATACCATAATCCATCACCTATGGTTTGACAGGAAATGGACACACTTTTATGATGCATAATATTGAAAGCACAGTGACATGTAGCATGCACAGCACATACCGCAAACAAAAGACAGACACCCCATACCAGACAACATTATATATCATGCTACATTACATAGGCCAACATGGGCAGACAAACTGCACACACGTACGTATCGCCTCTCCCTCGTATGATGGAGAGTGAGAGAAAGCGCCCATGCTCCACGCCGGACACGATAATAAGCTGCGTCCTGTTCTCGTCATGTGATGTTATGACCAAACTTCCTGTTGCCGCGGATAACTGGGCAGGCAGAGCTAGAGCCTTGTGCGTAATGCAATACCCCACCACCTTGCAACATATGCCTCAAGACAGGGAATAGAGATGCGCAAAGTACAAAAATGAACTTAAATACAGGGATGAAAAGGATGAGGAGAGATAGAGATGGGAGAGAGAGATGGGGAGCAAGTCTGATGCTGAAAAGTGAGAGAGAGACAGAGGGGGCAGAGAGAGAGAGAGAGAGAGAGAGAGAGAGAGAGAGAGATTGATTAAAACACAAAGAGTTCAAGGACTAGACAAGACAGAGAGGTAGAAAATAGAAAGTAGAATGGAGATTGGAAGAGAGAAAGAAAGAGTTCAAGAGGAAAGTGAATGAAACCAAGAATGCTACAGAGTGCTGCAGATTGAATGTAAACAGAGAATTGAAGAAATAATGTGAGAAAAGGGTGCTTAAAGAATAGAACAATTGGGGCATCTATCTGAATAAACACAAAACTACATGACAGATATACAAAATGGGAATATGAATAGAAATTGAAAAAGGAATAAGACAAAGAGACTGAGCTGTAGATAGTGTCTGGCAGTAACCTTTTCTACCTTTTCCTATTTTCCTTTCTTCCCCTTCACTAAGCCTCGTATAAAATCCCTCCAGTTATTTTTCTTTCCTGCCAAATCTCTGACACCACAGGCAATGAAAGAGCAATGCACTACATCTGATTATAAGGCTTGCCCGGTTTCTAGCTACAAAACCCTTTTCTACAGGAGCTAGCTCCTTACTCCTTTATTATAATATGGAACCTGGTAATTGCAAATTACCTGTCCGAGATTTCTTTCTTTTCCCTGTAATGACATATTTTAAATTCAGCATTGTTTTCTGTAGGAATATGTGGCTGATCAATGGCAATGGATGAACACTGTATTTTAGGAGTATCATTCTCAACCAATTCAATATATCTTTTTACTCTTTCTCTTCTTTTGTCAATCACCTCTCTTCTCTCTTTCTTTTGTCTTTCTCTTTTTTTATCACGCTATTCTTTCCCTATACCACCTGAGAACACCCCCCCCCCTCTCTCTCTCTCTCTCTCTCTCTCTCTCTCTCTCTCTCTCTCTCTCTCTCTCTCATGAGAGAAGAAGGCATATTCTGATATTGCTGTACTTCAATAAATGAAAAATTGGGAGAAGAAAATCATTTTTTTTAAAGAATGACTTTCCAACAAAGAAGAAATGAAGAAGAAAAAAAATAGTAAAAAAGGGAAAAACAGAAGAAAAAAACATGAATGACAAGATTACTATCCTGTAAAAACAACCAATACAACTCTGTCAAAACACACCTTTCATCGTCTACCCAATCAAATGAGAGAAAGATTGGCAAAAAGGGTGGGGAGAGGGGAGAGGTGGAGAGAGGGGGGCAGGGGAGAGGGGGGAGGCAGGGGTAGAGAAGGGGGAGGACTTTGGAGCATGCCTAATTAACAAATTTTGCTTCCAATGAGTAGTTTTATCTTCTAAAATGTCAAGTTATGTTCACAATTCCATATATGTACAATTCAAAATCACTTGGTTATATATGGAACACGCCTTGAATGTGTCCTCAAAGTAACCAATTTGTCCATTGTAGACTAGAGATTCCCACTGTCCCACAGCCCCCCCCCCCCCCCCCCCAAAAAAAAAAAAAAATTGACAAAAAAAGTGCAACTTATCTTATAATTGTATAATTAGGATTCATAATTGTAACTTGGACCCTTCAACCTCTCCTCATCCCCAAATCCATTGATTGAGGGTCACTTATTAACATTTCAAGGACCTGTTGATCTTGCCCGCTCACAATCACAAGACTGGCCAACTAGGGCTGACCTCTCGCAACGGTCAGCATTTAAGATGGTCAGCACCCATCAGTCTACATAGTCTTGACTTGCTGATCCCCACATAGGATATATCATATAACATCTAAACTATTCATACCCCATGTGACAGGAAGACTAACCCAAAGCCAACCTCAGTCTCTTTGACAAAATCTTGGTCACTTTCTTCTGTCGGTTTGGTGTCAGGTTTCTGTGTGACTGAGAGATTAACCCTTAACAGTGCCAGCTATCTTACAAATATTTAATAGATCTGTGTGACAAGTTTTCAATTCGAATATCATTTATTTCATTCTAATAGTGAACTCATTTTCAATTGAAAAAAGAAAGACTAGCATTACTTTTGTCATAAATATGTGATCTATATCAGTGCTTATGTATATCTGCATCTCTTGTAAATTGTCCTGCATTTCTTTTAAAATTGAGACTGTGAGATAACCAATGAATGAAATTATGATTTTATACATAGAATAGACAGAAATAGTTTGTCCATAACAAAATGAGGTAGCATCTGAGGAGCTTTTGATCAATTAATGCTTGACAATGTGCTTTCATGTCTGTAAGTATGATGCAAGTGTGAACTAATTAAGGAGAGTGAATAAAAAACATAATGGCATCTGATCACCTTTATACTCAAAACATTCAACTTGTTGACTATTGATTTTCTCTCATTTCCCTTAGGCCTAATACAAAGAGGAAAACAATTTAGACCATTCGATTCCTGTGTATGGACAATTCTATGGAACAAAGGATATCATATGTTACCTCCATAAACTCATTACCCTTTGTTGTATGTGTATTACTCATTTTCCATCAATGTAAAGAGTCCGTAGGTGATGCATTATACAGCCTACTCTCTGCAATAAACTATAATACACGCTATCAAAGTGCTAAGTGATGTCATATTGGCTAAATTACATGACAACAGCATAACCAAGGCTTTTCACCCTTAGCAACCACACACGACCAGTCAACATATACAGTAACACCTAAGAGCAATCATGCCCATCTGCATTATAACAATATCTACTAAGACGCCAAACAAACACATTGTTTGATCACATTTTTTGGAGCTATTTCAAAGATTTTATTGCATTGATAATGTATTGATTTCATGTCATTAAAAAGAACACAGAGACCGGCAAAACAATCGGAAATACATGCATGCATAAAATATAAACATATAAACCAATTAATTTGCAGTTGCAGTTTCACTGCTGATAACATGTAGCAAGTGAAATATGATTTTGATAGGGGAAAAAGAGAAAGTTCTAACTAAAAATACATGCATACACAACATTCAACAAAGTCCTTCGCAGTTACAGTCTTATGGCTTATAACAGGGGAAATATGTTTCTGTTTGGGAAAAGAGAGAAAGTTCTACATAAAAAGACATATACATTTACACTAGCATCACAGTTAAACAAAAACCTTTGCAGTTATAGCCCTAAGGCGTGTAACAGGTGAAATATTATTCTGTTTAGCAATAAGGAGAAGAGAAGTACTAACTAGCAAGATGAATGGCCTTTGGTACTCCTCTTTTCCTGTTCCCCGTGATCTTAGAGATCAAAGCGGAAATAAATGTCTCTGCTCTTATCATTCCTGATGTATTTAAAGGTAGACATTTACCTGGTAAGCCCATAGCTACACGTAGGCCTATATACATACTGGCATTGCTTTTATAGATACTTAAAATGCAGTAAACAAACATGGATGCAGCTGTATGGAAATATTAACTACAGCTTACACTTGATTGATATATATATATTTTACCTAACTCTTGTGAAAGCAATCAATATGATTATAGGTAGGCAACCACATATACACATTTAATTTAATAAAATGTCATGCTTTAATTGTTTATTGAGTCTAAAATTGAATGTTAGGTCTTATTGTTTTTAGTAATGCTAATGCTTCTGCTTATGTAATTAAATGTTGCTACTGCAGTTACAAATACTTATATTACCACTTCTACTACTACTACTACTACTACTACTACTACTACTACTACTACTACTGCTACTGCTACTACTACTATTACTTCTACTACTACTACTACTACTACTACTACTACTACTACGACTACTACTACTACTACTACTACTACTACTACTACTACTACTACTACTACAACTACTTCTACTACTACTATTATT